CAGCCCCAGGAGCTGAGCAGGAGCCCTCATGTCCATGCAGTGTCCTGACTGGGACTGAGTCCTGCAAAGAGTGTAATCAGCCTATTAATAAGTCTTTAGGGCAGGAGGTTGTGCTCCGGGAACATGCAAATCAGCAGGGGATGGAGCAAGCTGGGCACAGCTGCAGGACTGGTTCATGGAGAAGTATCTTAGATCCAGATAAAAGTTAATAAATATTCATACTCTTATTTTTCACATTTTTAACTTGGCCCAGGGCATCCCAGCCTAATTCAGTAGCAAGGGTGTGAATTGTTTTTCTTTTTACTCCTGTAAGAACAGTAACACAAGACCCTGTGCATGCTCCAGTTCTGGGGGAAAATGTGTGCCAGGAACAAGTGTAAAGAACAACTGGGGAAAGGGAGAAAGGCAATGTGTTAACAGCACCAAATATTCTCCCGTTAAATATATGCTAGTAACTGCTAAGCCAAACAATACCAAAAATATACCAGTGCAAAGTTACCTTTCCCTTCCTCCTTCCTCCTGTCTCCTGGCTCAGAGGGCACTTGCATCTTCTATAGGTTCTGCTCATGCTAAGGCTACAACTCCTGAAGTGCTCTTGTGTGTGATACCTGAGGTGTAGCTTCATACTAATCCCCTGAGTTCACCAACATCTTCCTCTTACATAGATTTAGAGAACATATCCTGTCCACTCCTCAGTGAAGGAACCAATTTGGGCAACAGGGATAATGCAAGTTGGGAGGCTTTTGTTTGGGGCTGAACCTTTGTGGGAGGATATTGTAGAGTGTGGTGGAAGTAGTAATCACCAACATCCTCAGCCTCCACCCTATTGATTTTAAGCATAAAACCTGTACCTGACCTGCAACCACTGCAAACTCATGGTTAAGTGGTGCATCACACATGGCTGTAAGTCTTTGGTGACTCAATTGTTAGTGAAGTTCTTATCCAAATGTATTTCAGGTCATATCACAAATGCCTATTTAACCATAGGATATAGACTAGCTTCCAAAGGTTAAAACTAGTCCTATGACATATCTGGGGATGATTGGTCTACTCTCTCCTCCCATTGGGGAGAACCTCTCTGGGAAGGCAGAAAACTGATTGGAAGTCCTATAGATCAGGAGCTGTGGAGACTGGCCTGGCTTCTGCAGGCACCAATACAAATAGGTGTATCCATTACCATGTAAAAGGTTCTAACTAGACCTGCAGGAGATGGAGGCCGGCTCTCCATTGGTGAGCCTGGGTCATCACAATATACCCACTGGATCCTAAAGTAATATGAAAAAGAAGTACAAGGTTATGTAAATCATGAGACATAATCATAATTTCTCTACAGTGATATATTTAATGCTAAAAAATTGTATTGCGGTGTGTGTGTTGGGGGGTGGTTGTAATTTTGATTCACGCACCAAAAAAATTCAATGAAAAGAAAAAAGACATTTTGAAAGCCCAAGCTGCCCTATGGAAGTCACTTACGCTACCCTCCTCTTTCCAAGTCAGAGTCTGCACCAGAGCTTAGGTCCTTGCTTTTTCTGGAATCTTCCTCACTCTTTCACATATAAAAGTGCCCCCACACATTCTATCCTGGAGCACAAGACACATGCATCTAACACGTGGACCGAACACACATGGGAGGCAGTGGGGCCCCCAGAGCTCACCCTCCCACCCCATTCTCCTCCCTCATCTCCTCTGTCCTTCCCAGGAGCCCAAAGCATTAGCAGCCCCAGGAGCTGAGCAGGGATCCTCACTGTGAGAAGATGAACTGAGGAGTCAAGGCAAGGTTACAGCTGAGCTTTTCTCCTAGACTCACAGGGGAAGGTCTTTCCTAAGGGACAATATGCACATCCCCTGTGCCTATTGTCTGCAGTGGTGTGGAAAGAGACAATGTACAGTATGCTTAATTCTAAAATGTATCTTTGTCTTCAGTATTAACATGCCGCATCATGGCCTGAAACATGCAAACAAAATGAACCAGTAGCCAAACTAGTTACTACCTACTACACATATATACTAAGTGTTCGTAAGAGTTCAAAAAATATTCTCCATTAGTTCCAGATTTGAAAGAAAGGAAAGTCCAAATAGTATTATCAGAAAAGATTATTAAGTGATGTACACGCTTGAGACTCCCGTGAGCTTTGATTTGCTCAACAGCCAAAATCATGCCTTGCTGGCAGCTTTCCATTCTCCTGATGGTTGGTGACAGTGAGGGTCACTCAGCAAAGGGAGAAAGAAGTGCTCTGAAAGTCATCAGTGGCAGCACGTGAGGTCAGGCTACACTAGGGTCCCCTCCCAGTGACGTGACTAAGTGTCCCTGCATTCATGACAGCTGTAGGGAACTTTAGTGGCAGTTCCAGGCAGAACATGACAGCCACTTCCTGGAGAGTCTGTGGGATGTCAGTGCACTAATTGGAGAGAAAGGGGAGAGGCTCTAGGAGTTGTCCTGGAGGGCTGTGACCCCTGTTTACACAGAGGAGGAGCCAGTGTTTGTGACTGAAACCTCATGGCCTCTTCCTGAAGGCTCTCCAGCCATCTCTAACTGAGCCCACCTGGTGTGGACGCGTCCCCTGGGTACCCCAACTGCTCCTGCTGCATTGAGAGACTGAGTCTCCTTGAGGTTTGTATGTGGGGCCATCACACAACGCAGGGTCCCAGTGAGTGTCTTGCTAACAGTCGTACCTGCAGTATCTCCAGGCCCCACAGAAGGGATTGTGAATATGTAATCATTAGAATTTTGGCTGGATGTGTGTCTCCACTTTTGAATATGTGCAGAAAAATACTTTGAAGGTTTGTCATTCTTTGCCCATGTTACAAAGGTCTTGCCATAATCCATTTTTTTTTCTGGATTTCTCTCCTTAAAAATTGAATTTTATCTTCCTTCACCACAGAATGCATTATTTTGGAATACACAGTCACTTCTAATGTAGTTTACTTCCTTAACAAAGAAAAAGAATATGTTGTCCTGCTGATTCAAATGCCCCTTTACTTTGATCATATTATGTCATGATTACTTTATAAACACTTTTAGGGCATTATTTTAACTGTCATCTATGCAAGCTATATATTTTCTATACAATTACCACTAGAAGACAGGAATGAGGTTCGTTTTCATGTAATGACTACATTGTGTGAAAGTAGTGCATGTACTTATATGTTGAAAACCATTTATTATTTTCATGACAATTGAACACCAAAATTGTAATTTCTAAAACATTATTTAGTTGAAAAAGTTATCTCCACTCCCATTACAATAATATTGTGGTTAAAAGCCTTAAAGCAACCACAGCAAAAGGTACAAAAAATACAAAAGTTATAAAATTATAACATCAGAGAACAGTGGACAGAATGAGACCTAGGTAATCTAAAATTCCAGAGTGAGGAAAAGCTTTCTAATAGAGCTGATGCTTACCTGACTTTTTGTTCTCCTGCCATATTTGCCAAGTTGACATTTGGACCCAAGTTCTGCTTTGGCACAGGCAGAGAAACCCATCTGTGAAAGGAGAATCTGGCTGTGCCTCTTTCATTGCACAAGGCAGCCTCTACTCACAGACAGTGTTTTCCATGGAACAGGGGCTGTGGTTTCATGACATGTGCAGTCTATGGGTGCTCGTCTAGAAAAGTAGAAACTCCCCATACAAAGGTCTCATGTAGCTTTTGTTGTTGATAAATTCTGCGCATACCATTCATAGTACATGTCTGAATCACGGATATATTGGTCATCATTGCCACAGCTCCCCAGTTGATGTAGGCTCTATTGGGACTTCAGGTTAGCGTGTCACTGCATGATTCGTGTTCTCAAACCCAACCACATGGCATCTGCTCATTATTTTAGTTCAACTGTGATTAAGTCACATAACCTCAGGTCTATTTGCACAGGAACCTCAATAAACATTTGATGATTGCAGAACTACAAGATCATTCTTGATGAACTACTTTTCCTTGAAACTTGCAGTGGTGCAGGCTCAACCTATGGAGCCAGGGAGTGATACTTTCTCCTCCGTAGCCTTTCATAAGAAGGACATTTGGGTTCCTTTCTGAGTTTATATCGTCAACCCCCAACAGTCACTGCCATCCACAACTGTACCTAATGTAAGTCAAAGAGCAGGTTATTTGGCCAGAGTTGACCCCCACTATCTTCCATTCATTCTCCCATTCCTGAAGTCTGCCCACTGTCCTCAAACTCTTACATTTTGTGGAAAGAAATCACACATCATTCTGTGTTATTTCAGTGGTCTATGAGGCAAATTCTATAACCCATGTCTCCTAGTCTAAGTTTCTGTTTATAAAACTCAACTTTTGAAATTTCAAAAACTACCCCTTTCAGTCAGCAAGACACAATTGAAGCAAATCAAACAATTTTAGCATTCATGTTTTCTATCTCCCATGAATTTACAAAAGCCCATTTTGACGCTGAAATCCAAGAGTTTTACTAACTGCCCTCAGTCAGCTCCTCATAATGACAGCTTGTGCAAAAGGCTCTTTCCTCCATCAATATGTGGTGGGACGATAAGTGGTGAAAGAGAAAGATAAGAAGTTAGGAAGATTGAAAAATATCAATTTTTGAATATTACCACGTCTTATCCTCTTAAATAGAGACTTCAAACGGCTAAACCTCAAGTTGTTTTCAACAAGTGTTGCAACAAATCTGGGTTATTTGTCTGGCCATTAACCTGTTTAAGTCTTATTTCCCAATGCAGGTGAGGCAGAGAGGATTGGGATGGGATTTCCTTCAGCTCTCCCTCAGGGCAGTCTAGTACCTATGCAGGCACTGGGATCACCTCTGGTTTCTTATGGCTTATGCCATGCCAAGGCTGTTGCAGCTGACAGGGCTGTGAATGGGTTTTGTTTGACATACAACTGAGGCACCCATGGGACAGAACCCTCAGATGCAACCTGTTGCCCTGAGATCTCCAACATGTTCATCTTATACAGATAGGGATTCTGCTCAGCTGCCTCCCCAGAGAAACAACATGCTTGAGCAGCTGGGCCACGCTGGAGGTTTTTGTTCAGGGCTGTACCAGTGTGCGAGGATGATGTGTACCTTCCATGCAGTAATAAACCCCGACATCCTCAGCCTCCACCCTACTGATTTTCAGTGTGAAATCTGTCCCTGCCCCACTGCCAGTGAATCTGTCTGGGACCCCAGAGTCCCGATTAGAAACCTTATAAATGAGGCGCCTTGGAGGCGCCTTTCAGCTTCTGCTGAAACCAACTCAAGTAGGTGTTTTCATTACTATGCAGGAGGCTCTGACTAGACCTGCAGGAGATGGAGGCTGGCTCTCCAGGTGTGACGGGCAGGGAGAGTGGAGACTGAGTCATCACAACATCCCCAGTGGATCCTGAAATAATGAGAGAGAAGTGCAAGGTTATATAGAAACTTTAAGAGCAATTTTAAAATAATTTTTCTTCTGTTATTTATTTCAGGCTAAATCAATTTTTATAATTTGATTCAGACCCCAGAAATACATAATTTCAAAATAAAAACTTATTTTCAAAGCACAGTAGAGTGTTTTGAGTGCTAGAAGTTTCCTCTATCATTCCCTCTTTCTCTGTCAGAGTCGTCACCAGAGCATTAGTCTTTGTTCCTTCTGGAACAATCTTAACCAATCACAGGCCTTACTCATGCAGATATAAAAGTTACAAGCCCCATCCTAGAGTACAAGACCTGCACATCTAACATGAGGACAGAACACACATGGGAAGCAAGGGGGCCCCCAGAGTTCACCCTCCCACCCCATTCTCCTCCCTCATCTCTCTTCTGTCCTCACCAGGGAACCAGAGCAACAGCAGCCCCAGAAGCTGAGCAGGGAGCCTCATTGTGAGAAGGTGACCTGAGAAATCCTGATAGTCAAGTCAAGCCTGGTGCTGAGCTTTTATCTCAGACTCACAAGGAAAGGTCCTCTCTGGGGACAATATGCAAATCCCCTGATGGGTGCAGTGGTGTAGAAATAACATGGTATGTACAGGGGCCTTTCCTATGAACAATATATTTTGTATACTTGAGAAAAAACTGTTAGAAATAACAATCTATGCAGCCTTATTGGGACAGGATATATTTCAATGTTTACAGTCAATTTTTTTACTTCCTTAGCATTTTCCCAGTGAATGTTACACTTCTCTTTAATATGGCTGAACTTCTGTAAATATTTGGTGCTTCGTATTTTTTCTTCATGTGTGTTGAAGAGGTCTTGGTTTGCTCGTCATTTTATAAATCAAAATAAATTGTGCCCTGAGTAAAGTGCAAACATGTTCATTGCTCAACCAAATAAAGTACTCACATTCACTATCCAGATACAAATACGGATGATTTTAAATTCTCCACAAGCTGCCTTCATTCACCTTTCTAGTCTATAGCTTCTGCCTCTAACCTACCAAGGGAACTGCAACTCTGATATCTATCATAAAGATTCAGTTTTCCTGAACATCAACAACATGGGAATTGAGGTAAGTATATTTATGAAGCCTTTATTTAATTTTATGGATTCAAATTACTGTTCATTGTCATTTACTGATTCTGAATTCTAAAGGATTTCTTCCTGAGTTTCTTATAAGATATATATGCTAGTCATTGTTTCTTTTCTTTTCTTTAAGGACAGATTTGCTGAATATAAAATCATCTTTAATTTGTTTTTCCAGTACTTCAAATAGCTTTAATATTAATGGTTAATCCACTACTATTAACCAAGTTACAATCTATATTTGAATTCCACTGAGCTTTCCACTGATATATATAGCTAACATTTTTACTTTTAATGTTTCAGGATAAAATTTCTGGATCCCATATTGCATTCAGTTTTCATGCTTTCTTAATTTCCTTCACTATCTGACAGTTTTTTAGTCTTTGTTTTGAAATACCTTGAAACTTTTGATATATGCTGTCTGCTTATTTTTGAGAATGTCCCTAAAATTCGAATGTTTGGTATTTTCTATTGATTCAAGTCAGATTTTTCATTTTTGGCAAGAATATTACAGCAGGGATGTGTTTTCAGTACATCCTATCAAGAGTTACATAATACCAACATGTCATCACGGGAGTTGATAAATGAATATCACTAATGAACTCTTTTTGTAAGAAAGTCTTGGTCAAAGGTAACCAAGGCAGCTGCTTTTGTCACTCTTCTATATGGTTATATGCTGACTTTGTTAGGAATTGTCTAGTAGTATCTGCTACGGTTTAGATGTTTGTGATGTTCCAAACTTATTGTTGGAATGTAAAGCGTAAGTTGATATTAAAATGTAGAGCCCCTTGGGAAGTGATTAAGTCATGTGCTCTGCCCTCAATGAATGGGATTAATGGCCTTATATAGAAGGTTTCAGAGAGCTGCCTGGCCCTTCCATCTCTGTTGCCATGTGCAGACACAACATTCAGTTTGTCTCCTTTGCCGTCTCTGACTCCACCAGACAGCTTCACCAGACACTAAATGTGTTAGCATCTTGATCCTGGACTTCTGAACTCCAGAACTGTGAGAAATAAATATTGTTTATAAATTTCCCATTCTGTGAGTTTGTTATAGTTACATGAAAGAACTCCACACTATCTGATTCTCTTTTTACTTATTTATTTTTTTCAGAATTCAGTTCTACTTAAAGTCTGCTCTCCAATACAGAATGCTGATTAAATAAATTGTGCTCACTCTTAAATGTCAAGTATTTCCATCATGGCCATTCAACACTGGAATGTTGATGACCTGAAGGAAGGAAGAGAGGACTGGTATCTATGAAAACATAGTGGTACCCACCAGTTCCTGAGTAATTTGGACAAATACATAGTCCTACACATCACTTAGAATATTTAGGAAACTAAATGGAAAGGTTTAGAATTAATCGAGCTACTTCTAAAGTGGGAGGTTGAGATGCTATTGGTGCCATACTAGGATGCACACAGTTGAGACATGATTTCCAAGAATCTGAAATCCTAGGGACTAAGTTGTAGAATATGTGGCTATATCAGCATGGTACTTATTTCTCAAAATAGATATTTTTCTAAGTTTTTCATTTCTGCTGTGACTAACCAATGGAATTTTGTCTTTTGATTGTTGTGAAAGTAAATAACTTGTATTGATTTCAGAGACTTATCAGTGGAAGGAGATGAGTATCAGATGTGGCTTGGGACTTGGACTTGGGACTTTTGAGTTAAAATTAGAATAAGGTAAGACTTTGGGCAGAGATTGAAAAGGAGTAGTTGTATTCTGAAATGTGAAAACGACATGAGATTTGAGAGAGTCCAGGGGTAAAAGGATGTTGTTTGTATATTTGTTTCTGCTCAAATGTCATGTGGAATTGTAATCCCCAGTATTGGAAGTGGGGCCTCATGGGAGGTGACTATATCATGGAGATAGATTTCTCATGAATGGTTTAGCATCATCTTCTTGGTGCTGTTCTCGTGATAGTAAGTTCTCATGAGATCTGCTTGTTTAAAAGCTTATGGCAACTCCCTCTCTCTCTTTTGCTCTTTCTCTGGCCCTGTGATGGGCCTGCTCCCACGTAGCCTTCCATCACAACTGTAAGCTTCCTGAGGCCTTCCCAGAAGCTGAGCAGATGCCAGCATCTTGCTTCCTACAAAGCCTGTAGAACTGTGAGCCGAGTAAAACTCTTTTCTTTCTATGTCACCCAGTCTCAGGTATTTATCTGTAGCACTGCAAGAATGGGCTAATAGATTTGTTCTCTAATTTTTTTTTCTTTTTTTGAGATGGAGTCTCACTCTGTCACCAGGCTGAAGTGCAGTGGTGCAATCTCGGCTCACTGCAACCTCTGCCTCCTGGGTTCAAGTGATTATCCTGTCTCAGCCTCCTGAGTAGCTGGGACTACAGGCATGTGCCACCACATTCAGCTAAGTTTTCTATTTTTAGTAGAGATGGGGTTTCACCATGTTGGCCAGGATGGTCTCAATCTCTTGACCTCATGATCTGCCTGCCTCAGCCTCCCAAAGTGCTGGGACTACATCACGAGCCTCTGTGCCCATTCCCTCCTTATTTGTTTATTTATTTATTTATTTTTTAATAAGGACCTTAATTGAATCAGATCAGAACCTAAACCTTATGGCCTCATTTGACTGTAATTAGTTTCTTAGAGACACTGTCTCCAAATACACCCACACATAGACTTAGGGCTTCAACTGGTGCATTTTGAGGGGACAGAAATATTTACTTCATAAAAGCTTATCTTATTTTCTTGATTCATCAAATACTTGCTCTCTTGGCATATTTTGTGGTCACTCATGGAGGTGAGATGGATCTTTACTAATTAATAGATATTATGGTGAAGCTGTTGACACTCCATGTACAAGAGAATTTGGGAGAAATGTTGTAACTCACACAAGGGAATCTTGGGGCAAGCAGGATATGCACAAGCTGGTATAAGCTGGCCCGAGTTAGACAGAGGGCTGGGTTTTTATAGTTAGACTGGAGATATGTTTTCTTGTATTGCTGAGGATCTCTGAGGCTTGACTGTCCTGCAGGCAGTTGCACAAATATGTGGTGGAAGGGAAAGTGGGAGGTGGTGACTGAAAACTGTCACTGATCAAACATCAAAAATGGAGTCAGAGTGCTTATTATATAGCACTTATTTGAAGGTATGGTACCTTACAGTATCAGCTTTTTATATTTTGTCCAGTTTTTTATATCTGTTTTTAGCAGTTTGGCATGAAAAAAATGTATCTGCCATTTAACATAGTGGGAGTTTTGGGGGAAAAATCATAATTTAGTAAATAATGTCGAAGGAAACAGGATTTGGGGAAACATTGTATCTACATAATTAAGAGATGTAGCAAAATTACAATGATTACTAGCAATTATTTAGTGTTTAATACATTTGAAAGTTATAAATATTTTATAAGTATTCAACTACTTAATGATTATAATAGTCTTATGGTATAGTTACTTCTTTATTTTCCTTTATTAGAGATTAAAAAAAAAAAACAAGATAAAAGTGTTTAAGCCTTTTGCCAAATTTACACATATATTAAGTGTAAGGGCCAAAATTCCAACCGACGTATGTGATTACAATCTGTATGTTCTGTTATCACAGAAACTAGTGTTTCAAAATCTCTTTCACTGAGCTTTCTACCGGATTTCATCAATTATGTATGAGTAACTTGAACAAGATAATATTGTTGGATCATTGCACTGCCTTTGCTCAGTTTCGTCACACGAGGGAGGCAAGCTTTGATGCTGTTGACAGTAACAATACGCTGCATCTTCAGGCTCCAGTCTGCCGATTGTGGGAGCGAATTCTACCTCCGACTCATGGTCACTCAACCATGCAGGGACACTAGGCTTCTGGATAGTGACTTGCTCCCCTCAAGCTTTGTCCAGAACTTGAAAATTGAGAACTCATGAGCACAAAGAAGGGAACAATACACACTGGGGTCTACCTGAGGGTAGAGGGTGGAAGAAAGGAAAGGAGTGGAAAAGATAACTATTGGGCACTGGGATTAATAGCTGGGTGACAAAGTAATCCGTACAACGAACCCCCATGGCACAAATTCAGCTATGTGACAAACCTTCACATGTATCTCTGAATCTAAAATAAAAGTTAATAAAATAAAAATAAATAAAACTGAGGCAGCACAATATTCTCATTGACATCTGCATTTTTAAAAGAAAAAATCACATGAGCACAAATGTCACTGAGGTTAAAAACACACCCCACTCTATGAGCTTATCCTGTTACTCAACACTGTGAGTGCTCCATGATAAATCAAATGTCACAGATCAAAAAAAAAAAAAAAGAAAAAGAAAAAGAAAAGGTACTAAAGATTTAACTTACAATGAGAAGAAAGCAAATTTCACCATCATGTGGCACCTCCTCATAATCAT